GAAGGATGGACAGAGCAGAGTCTCCCCCATGGCATCCCCCTGGGACACCTGCTGCTGTCACACACTGTCACCCCACTGTCACCCACGGTGACACCCACCCCATGCGCCCAGCATGGTCCCAGCACCCAGTGAACAGTGCAGTGTCAAGTGCCAGGTCCCTGCACCCATCCCAGTGCCGGTGCCCAGTTCTCCTACAGACGGGTGCCAGTACCAGGCCCCAGTACCTAGTGTCAGTTCCCAGCACCCAGTGATGAGTTCCAGTGCTGGTGCCAGGTCCCAGCACCCACTACCAGCTAACAGCACCCAGTGACAGGTTCCAATACCCGTTACAAGTTCCCAGCACCCGCTGGCCATTCCCAGTCCCATCTCAGTTCCCGGTGCCCAGCACCAGCTCTCCCTGTATGCCGGTGAGTGTCCCGGCACTCGCACAGAGTCATCCCGGGTAGCGGGGGGGGGTGACAGAGAGAAAGCGGGGGGCACCGGGGGGTACCCGGGGGGTGCCAGAGGGGAACCGGTGGGGAGTCTCAGAGGGCCAGTACCTGCAAGGGACTTGAGGGGGGACACTGAGGGACACGGGGGTGGGATGGAGGACACTGGGGGTGGGATGGGGGGGATCAGGGGCAGGATGGGGACAGCGGGAGTGGGAAGGGGGACACCGGGGGTGGGATTGGGGTGCCCGCCGGCGAAGTTTGGAGCGGCGGCGGGGCGGAACAAAGGCGGCACTGACTTTCCTGGGCCATGCTGATGACGGTCTCGGTGGTGGCGTGGTACTCGTCCTCCTCCAGGTACTCGTCGTGCTGCAGCGAGTCCCCCTGGAAGTCGTGGAGGTCGAGGAGCTGCTGGAGCGGGGGGGCCTTGGGCAGCAGCTGCTTCACCACCTCCCGGGTGATGTTGGGCGCTTCCTTCAGCCGCAGCTTGCTCAGAATCTGAGACTTGATGCTCTCCAGCCGCAGCTCTTTGCTGTGCCTCCGCCACAGGCACACCGGGCAGGAGGGCTCCGGAGCGCTCCCCGTTCCCGTAGTGCCCCCCCCTCCCGTTCCCACCGCCGCCGCCGCCGCCGCCGCCAAGAGGCAAAGCACCACCGGGGCCATACCGGGAAGCAAAACGTCCCCACCACCACCGGGGGCCGGGCCCCCCCCGTTCCGCTTCCACCGCAACGTTTTTAACGGGGGGGAGGAGGGAGAAAACAGGGAGGGGAGGGGGGGGCGCGGCGGAACGGGAGGAAGGCGGGAACGGTGCCGGGGGGCGGGGAAGCGGGGGGGGGGGGGTGGAAGGAAAAAGGGGAGGGGGGGGGGAAAGGAAAAAAAGCGGCGGTAACGGCGGCCCCGTGGTTTTATACCCCAAGAGAAGTGTGTCGTCACCGGCCATGATTGGCTGCGGCCGCACAAAAGAGGTTCGGGCAGGGGCTTGGCACCAGCCGCCGCCGGCCCCCCGAGCACCGGGAACGGCCTCGCAGCCACCGGGTCGGAGCGATCCTCCCCCCCGCGTCAAATCCTTCCCTTGTAACGGGTGGCGGCACCGGTGGGACCCAACTCCTGGCAAGTGTGGCGGGGCGGGGGGACCCCGGCACTTGCCGAGAGTTGGGTCCCACCGTGCCGCCCCGGTAAACCGGGTATACGCATCCCGGTGGGTGTCTACGTGTGTTATCCCGTCCCCCCCGCTGCCCTGCTCCCCATCAGAACCATGGAGAGAGCAAACTGGAGGCTCGGCAAACCCGTGGTAGCGGGGCTGCAACCGGTCACTCTCCCTTCTAGTGGTGCAGAGACGCCCCCCTACGATACCAAACCAGCACCGGTGGGGTGAAGGTGACGAAGGAGCCACCCCTTTATCCCGTTATCCCATTATCCTCCCCCCAGCTACTCCCCACTACCGGAGCGGTGTCAAGCGCATCCCGCCAGGGGGCGACACAGAGGAGCCGGTAATACCGAATAGGGGCGAGGGCGCCACCGTGTGGCGCTGGGAGACACAACCCGCACCGGTACCTCGCGGGGGGGTGGTCCCGGAGGAGGTGGGATGAGGCGGGAGGGAAGTGTTTGCTACGGGGGGTGACCCCCAACCGTTGCCGGTGCGGCCGTTCCCCGTTCCCTGTGGCATCACCGAATCTCGGTATCACCGGTCCCGCGGCGGCGGAAGCTACAAAGCGACAAGCGGAAGCGGGTGGCTGCGCGGGGAGCATTGACAGCAGCGCATCCCTCCCCCCCCCGCAGCCCCGCTGGCGGTTTTACGTCCGCCGCTCGGTACCGAGGGGGTTAAAGCGGCGCCGTGACGCGGCCCGTCCGGCCCCGCCCCACGGGCCGCCCTCCAGGAGCTGCGAGAGGCACCGGCCCCGGTAACGGCAAAGCGGGGGGGGGGGAGGGGGAGGGGGGGGATTGGGAATGGGCTCGGGACCCTCCCGGGGGCATCGCAGGTGGGGGAAGCAGAGAAGGGTGTCCCGGGGGGGGGCACAAGGGCTCCCCGGGACGGGGGGAACACGAGAGATCCGGGGGGGGGTCCCAGGATAGGTCTCGCTGTGGGGCGTCGGCCCAGTCACCTCTCACGGCTCCGAGGGCAGTGGGGACCTGTCCCCCCGGCCCTGCTGTGTCTTGTGGCCAGCCCCACGTCTTTGTCCCCCTGTCCCCATTCCCATGTCTCCACGTGTCCACATCCCCATCCCCATGTCCCTGTTTTCCCATGTCCCTATTTCCCCATGTCCCCACAGTCCCACGTCCCTACATCCATGTTCCCATATTCTCATGGCCCCATGACCCCATCCTCACATCACACGTCCCTACATCCCCACATCCAGGTCCCTACGTCCAAGCTGTGGCCTCTGGCATTGGGTGGGATCACTATAGCCAGGTCCCCACCCTGCCCAAACCCCAAAACCACTGGGCTGGGTGGTGGGGCCAGGCAGGAGGTGGGAGGCCACATCACCGCAGTGCAACGTCCCCTCAGCCCCGTGTCCCCCAGCCCTGGCCATGGCTGGGCTGCTCCAGGCCCTGGTGAGTGCCTCAGAGAAGGCTGCGGATATCGCCCGGCTGTGCCGGCAGGAGCAGCCGCTCTTCCAGCTCCTGGTGGCCGAGAAGACAGGACCTGACCGGAACCAGAGGTTTCTGCAGGACTTCAAGACGCTGGCAGATGTCCTCATCCAGGAGGTCATCAAGCATGACCTGGGGAAGGAGGTAGGGACGGGATGGGGTGGATGGCATAGAATGGCATGGCATGCCATGGGGTGGGACAGGGTGGGATGAGGTGAGGGCTCCCCCTGCGCTGCAGCTGAGCCATCCTGTCCCCAGTTCCCTGAGCTGCAGGGCCACATCCACGGTGAAGAGTCCAGCGAGTTCAGGAGCCCTGAGGGTGAGTCTGGGGGTGCAGCAGGGCTGAGGGGGGGCACCCCCACTCAGAGGTTGGTGCTGAAGCCAGGGCACCACAGGGGAGATGGTGACGGTGCGGGTGTGCGCCACCCCGGAGGACACGGCAGCGCTGCTGCTGGCGGTGCTGGAGCCTGAGCGCAAGGCCGCGGAGCTGCTGTCGGATGCTGTGCACCGTGACGTGGCACTGGCAGATGCGGCGGTGGCTGCTGTGGAGCTGAGCATCCCCCCACAGGACCTGGCCATCTGGATAGACCCCATCGGTGAGGGGGTGCTGGCACAGGCTGGGTCAGGATCCCCCCATCCCCATGGCTGAGCTCCGGCTTCACCCACAGACTCCACCAACGAGTACATCCGTGGGAGCGAGGATGTGGGCCCCATTGATGGCATTGCTCCAGCTGGGCTGTGCTCTGCACTGGTGCTCATCGGTGCCTACAACCGGCACACGGGCTGCCCTGTGCTGGGCGTCATCAACGAGCCCTTCTTCCAGCGGGACTGCAAGACACGCAGGTACCTGCACCATGGGCAGCACTGGGGTTAGCAGGACCCCACCGGTGCTTGCACTGAGGGTCCCCATCCCCACAGGTGGCAGGGCCGGTACCACTGGGGTGTTGCTTATGGGGACACGCGGCTGAGCTCACTGAGCCCCCCAGTATCGTCGCTGGTGCCACGCGTGGTGCTGAGCCGTGCTGAGGCACCAGCAGTGCGAGCAGCGCTGAAGCCTCTCTGCGGCGGGCGCCTGCTCTTCGCTGCTGGTGCCGGGTACAAGCTGCTCTGTGTCATCCTCGGGCTGGCGGACGTCTATGTGCTCTCGGAGGGCAGCACCTTTGCCTGGGACGCCTGCGCCCCTCATGCCATCCTGCGTGCCCTGGGCGGGGGGATCGTGGCCTTGGCAGGGGCCCTGCAGGTGCGGCGAGCAGGGGGCATCGGGACCCCCCCTGAGCTGGTATACAACTGCCCCATAGACGGGGTGGATGGGGCTGAGCGCTGGGCAAACTGCGGCGGCCTTGTGGCCTACGTGGACCCCCAGCACCTTGAGGCCGTGCTGGCCACGCTGGACACCATGCCGAGGCTCTGAGAGCATGGGGGCTGGGGGGTGGGTCACAGGGTGGCAGGACCAGGGTATAGGGTGTCTGGGACCAAGGGTGGTGGGTCACTGGATCGTCAGGTCGTAGAGTATAGGACATCAGGGATCTCTGAGTGCAGTGTATGAGGTGTCTGGTACCTCAGGGTGCAACTTACGGGGTGTCGGGGACCTCTGAGTGCAGGCTTTGGGGTTTTCAGGGGGTGGACCAAGGGTGGCAGGATGCTGGGACCCGGGGTGCTGTTGTGGGGTGTCCGGGATGCTGGGGATGCAGTTATGGGGTCCCAGCTGCGGTGTCTTTGTGATGGGAGCTCTGTGATACTCCCCTGCCCTCCAAAGTCCCCCATTAAAGCATCCCCCGCACCCGGTGTCTGTTCTGCTGGGGGGAGGGCGGGACCCGCGGGAGGGCCGGGCGGGACCGGGGCGGTGCCGGTGCTGCCCGAGGACTCGCCCCGGTCCCGTCACATGATCGCGGAGCGGGCGGTGAAGCAGGGGCGCCGGTGAGCGCCCGGGGACGGGAACGGGAGCGGGAGCGGGAGCGGAGCGGGAGGATAAGCATAAGCAGAGGAGGGGACAGGAACGGGAGCGGGGACAGGAACGGGAGCGGTACCGGGGCTGAGCGGCGGCTCCTGCAGGACGGGCCATGGCGGTCGAGGGCGGGATGAAATGCGTGAAGTTCCTGGTTTTCGTGTTCAACTTCGTCTTCTGGGTGAGTGCGGGGCCTGGGGTGGGGGGAACCGGGTGGGGAACCGGCGGGGAACAGGAGAGAAGCGGGAGGGAACCGGGGGAGGAGGACTCGGGGCCCGCCCCAGTCTCACGTCAGGCCGCGGCCCCTCTCGCTGGGAGACAGGGCACCCCGGGGTGGGAGGGGGGGTCCTGCCCGGTGCCCCCCGCCGCCATCAGTAGGTTCCAGGAGTAACGCGGCCGGTACCGGCGGTACCAGGGACACCATGGCCGGGGGGTGGCATACACACACACCCCCCCAGGGGGTGACCGGGACCCCGCGGTCTCTGCAGGGCTCCCGCGGCGGGGGTCAGGGGAAGGTTTGGGGAAGTCGGGGTGAGGAAGGAGGCGCCAACGGCCGAGGCGGGGAGTGGGGGCACAAACCGGAGCTTTCCTGGCGCCCCCTCCCCAGTGGGGAGTGACTCGTCCCGGTCCCCACCCGGTCCTGTGGGGCTGAGTCACCCCTGAAGGGCCTCGGGCCACCCGCCAGCGGCGGGGGGGGGGGGGGGGCGGGACGCGACTGAGACACCGGCGCCAGCCCCCCCCCCCCCCCCCCGACTCTCCCCAGGAGTGTTTGTGCAGCCGGGCCCGGCTCCGCGAACAAACAGGGGCCCGGGGGGGGGGAACCGAGGCCGGGCTGACACCTCCACACCCTGCCCTGGACCCCCAGCACCGGGGGGGGGGCTGGCGCTGGGCACCCTCCCCCGCAGCCTCTCCCCGTGGCGGGAAGGCTGCGCTTCATCCTGGACTTCCTAGTGTTCTGCAGCAGCCAGCACCGGGGGTGTCTGTCAATGGGGCAGGATCGGGCTCCCCATACCCCACTGCACCCCCAGAGCGTGCCTGGGACAGGAGGGCAAGGGGGTCCCTACTTTGAAGACAACCCCCCCGTCAAAGGGGGGATGCAGGTGCCCCCCCCATCGGAGGGGTCCCGGCTGCCCCCCAACGGCTCTGCCCCCCCAGGTGTGCGGCGTCGCCCTTGTGGCCATCGGGATCTACGCACAGGTGGCGCTGGATAAGGCGCTGGTGGTGAGCACGGCCTCAGCCGCTGGCACCCCTGTGGCCATCCTGGTCCTCGGCATCATCATCTTCTTCATCTCCTTCTTTGGCTGCTGCGGAGCCTGGAAGGAGAGTTACTGCATGGTCACCACGGTAAGCACCTGGACCCCCAAGACCACCGCAAACACCCCCCAGAGCTGCCCAAACACCCCTCAAACACTCCCCAAGACTCCCTCGCTGCACCCTGGAAGGAGAGTTACTGCATGGTCACCACAGTGAGTGCCCAGGCTCTCCAGACACCCCCAGAGACTCCCAAGAACCCACACTGCATCTTGACCCCCCCCTTTAACACCCACCCTGACTCCCCCCACTGCACCCTGACACCCCAACCTCCTCCCCCCACAGTTCGCCGTCCTCCTCAGCATCATCTTCCTGGTGGAGGTCGCCGCTGCCATCGCCGGATACGTCTTCAAGGACAAGGTAGGGATTAGCCGGGGGGGGGGGGGGAGGGGGGCACGGCCCCATCCAGGGGTGCTGGGACGCCTCTGACCCCCCCAGCCCTTCTGTGCCCCACCCCCAGGTGCGCTCAGTGCTCGAGGATGGGCTCTGGGATGCCATGAACAAGTATGGGGAGGACAAAGCCCTGACGGAGGCATTGGATGAGCTCCAGAGGAATGTGAGCAACGGGATGGAGGGGGGACACGTGGGAACCCCCCCTTGACCCACTGGGGACCCCACTGACCATCCCTCTCTGCAGTTCTCTTGCTGTGGAGCCAACAACTACACAGACTGGAGCAGCATCGAACGGTTCCGGGTGAACAACACAGTGCCTCAGTCCTGCTGCCGTGTCAACAGCACATCCTGCAACATGCACCCCAGCCCTGCCACCGTCTATGAGAACGTGAGACACCCCCAGCCCTCTGTGACCCCCCCAGGGTCCCCACAGCACCCCCCTGAGCCCCTCTGTGCCCCCCAGGGCTGCCTCCAGAGCATCGAAGCCTGGATGAAGAAGAACATCCTCATAGTGGCTCCTGTGGCTTTGGGAATCGCCTTCTTTGAAGTGGGATATGGAGCTGAGCCCCCCACTTCCATCCCCATGTGGGGGGCTGAGGCCCCTCTTCCATCCCCATGTGCAGGGCTGGCTCACCCCCCCAGCCTGGTGTATGGGGCTGAGCAAGGTGGACATCACCCCGTTCTCCTCTCTCTGTCTAGATCCTGGGCATCATCTTTGCCTGCTGTCTCATGAAGGGCATCCGCAGCGGCTATGAGGTCATGTAGCCCCCCCCCCCAGCTCCCACTGCTGCACACCAGGAGAGCTGTGGGGGGCTCTGCAGGACCCAACGTGCCAAAACCCTACCATAGCCTGGGGTTGGGAATAAAAGCTTCCATAGATCCCTGTGTCCCAGCACTGGGGTGGGATGTGGGTGGATCATTGAGCACGCAGGGCTGCGCCATGGTTCATGTGGCACCGGAGGGGGTGTTTTTATTGACAGCACTTGTGGGGGGAGCACAGCTTGGTCTGGGGGGTCAGCGGACGCGATGGGCAGGCTTGGGCAGGATGGTGGCCAGGACCAGGTCCACGATGCAGGTGGGAAGGTAGGAGGCGGGGAGCCAGAGCAGCTTGGCATCCCAGCCTGCACTGTAGCGGGTGCGTGGGTAGCGGGCGCTCAGTGCGTGCTCCATGCACCACGTCACCTTGGCCAGGTCCGTGTCACAGATGAGGTTCATGATGAAGCGCTGCACCTTGAGGTCTGGGGGGGGGAAAGGGAATGGGGTCTCAGGCACGGCGGTGCTGCGAGGGCTGGAGCAGCTCTGCCTGGAACCAGGCTGAGAGAGCTGGGCTGGCTTATCCTGGAGAAGAGAAGGCTCCTTAAGGGGAGACCTTAGAGCAGCTCCAGTGCCTAAAGGGGCTACAGGAAACCTGGAGAAGGGCCTGCAGGGACAGGACAAGGGAATGGTTTTAACCTGCCGAGGGGAGACTGAAATGAGATCTTAGGCAGAAGTTCTTCACCATGAGGATGTTGGGACATGGAATGGGTTGAACAGAGAAGGTTTGGATGCCCCATCCCTGGCAGTGTTCAAGGCCAGGCTGGAGCAACCCACTCTAGTGGAACTGGAGGAGCTTTAAGGTCCCTTCAACTCAAACCCTCCCCTCTGAGGGCCTCGGGGGATGCGTCTGTCCCACTCACACTGCTGGAAATAGTCCTCCCCATAGCTGAGGCGCGTCTCAGGTGCCAGCCGCTCCCAGAGCTGCCGCAGGGATCCCTCGATGGCTCTCCAGGTCCGTCACTGCTGTCTTGAAGAACCCAGGCTCCACAATGCTCACCTTGACCCCGAAGTGGTACATGTCACGCCTGCGGGATGCAGGGGGTCAGCGCCATGGGGCTGGGGATGCTGCTGGTGATGAGGGCTCTAGCACCCACCGCAGGCTGTCACTGAAGGCCTCGATGCAGTACTTGGACACACAGTAGCCACCGCCATTTGCTGCAAGGCGGCCCAGGACACTGGAGGTGTTGACCACACGGCCCCGCGCCCGCTTCAGCAGTGGCAGTAGCAGCAGCGTCACCTCGATGGCTCCAAAGGCGTTGACATCCATGACCTGGCGATAGTCCTCCAGCACCATCCACTCCGTGGGGCCGATGGGATTGGCCACTCGGCATTGTTCACCAGCCCAAAGAGACCTGGAGGGGGTGTGCCATGGGGGGGGGGGGGAGGGGGGGGCGCTAGCCCTGGTGTGTTCCCCCACTTGTCCATCCTGCCCTGGACCCCACACACCCCACAGCAGCACAACCAGTCGGGACCATCTTGCTCCATAGCCCTTCTTGAGCCAACCCTTATCCTCTGCCCTACTGGTATCCCCCTGCTCTGCCCTACAACACCTCATCAGGGACTCTGAATCCTGGGGACCCCCTGTGCCCCCTTATGGAGCTGCTTGTCTTGATCTATAGCATCCCTTGGTGGGTCCCATCCTCTTGTCCTACAGCACCCACCTCTCCTGAGACCACCCATCCTGCTCCTTACTGATGGACCTCATCCCATACCTCACAGGACCTCCCTGGCTCCGATCCTGCCCCCAGGTCTCATCCTGCCCCACAGACCCCATCCCACCCCATAGTCCCCGCCTCATGCCCCATCCCCACTCACCTCTGTCGCCCACCTCATTGCTCACCCACTCGATGGCGCAGCGGATGCTGTCAGGGCGGGTGAGGTCGAGCAGGGTGGTGCGGAGGTGCCCGGGGCAGCCGCGGCGCAGCGCCTCGGCGCCGGCGGGGGTGAGGCAGGCAGCGAGCACGCGGTACCCGCGCCGCGCCAGGCGCCGCGCCAGCAGCCGCCCGAAGCCGCTGTCGCAGCCCGTCACCAGCACAAACTTGTCCTGCACCGACGGCAGCGTCTGCCGGTCCCGCAGCAGCCACAGCAGCGCCCAGCACAGCACCGCCAGTGCCACCGTCAGCCACATCGTAGGGGCTGTGGGGCAGGGGGGCAGTGGGACTGGAGCCTCTACATTAGGGACCCCCCTGCCTCGGTCACCCCATCACCCATAAACCACAGTGGGCACCCCAAGGTCACTGCCCTGCCTCACACTATGGGGGTCATCACCCATAACAATACATGCCCCCTTCCAGCACCATCAGCAGCCACATTATGGGGGCTGTGAGGCAGGGGGGGACAGTGGGATTGGAGCCTCAACAGTAGAGACACCACGCCATAGTCACCCTCTGCACCACACCTTCAAGCTCATCGCCCATAAAGCCATGGCGGGCACCCCAAGGTCGCTGCCCTGCCCCACACTAGGTGGGTCAGGCCCCACACACGCACACAGGGAGGGTGGGGGAAAGGGGGCTGAGGAAGCTTCTCCCACCCACCTTGCTCCAGCTCCGGGCTCCCAGTGTCTGGATGGGATCAACCGGATGCGGTGTCAGCGCCTGGCCGGGACCCAGCAGTGACACGAGGGGGAGGAACTGAGGGGGTCCCTGCTGCTCCCCTCACCCCCATTTAACTCTGTCCCCCCCTGCCCTGCACTGGGAGGTGACCATCACCTTGGCATCTGAGACCCCCCAACCCACATAACCCCCCGAGTCAAGACAGCTTATGGGGGGCTGTGTCCCCCTCCAGGAGCCCCTTCTGGGGGTTCTTAGTGGGGGGTCAGGGCCCCCCCATTGCCCCCAGAAGTGGGTGCTGTTGGGGACTCTGGTGAAGGGACCCCAAAGCCAGGTGCTGCAGGGGACAGGCAGCTCCCCCTGCCCAGGCAGGGCACTAGCGGCTATGGGGTAGCCCCCCAGGTCCCCCAGGCTGGGTTGGGGTGGAGAGAGGACCCCACCCCCTATATTCCCCCTACCTTCGGTGGGGCAGCACCTGCAGCTGCGGCAGTGGCTCTGGTTTGAGTGACCCGGGGGGGGGGGGGGGGGGGGGGCGGCCACGGCTGCTCCTCCCTTGGTGCTGCAGCCAAAGTCCCCCCTCCCCCCGGGCTGGGTGCAGCTCCGGGGGGGGGGGGTTAATGGGGTGCATGGGGGGCACTGGAACACCCCTCACCATGTTGGGGTCTCTCATTATGAGTGGAGCCTGGGGGAGGTGCTGAAGGCAGCCCCCCAGGCACACAGATCCCCCCAGGTGCCCTTTGCAGCCCCCCAAGGTGGGGGGGTGGGGCCGAGCTCGCGGGGGGGGGGGGAGGTGGGGGATTAGAGCCTCAGGCCCGAAGGAGCCCTTTGTCCTGGAGCAAGAGGGGCCTCAGGGCTTAGTGCTAAAGAGGATGAGGAGGCTTAGGAGGGGGCCACGGCACAAGCAGCCTTTATTGCGGGGGGGGGGGGGGGTCGGTCGGGACCCGGGGGTGTCAGGAGCAGGGTGGCTGGAGCTGTCCCTTGTACACGTACTCCAGCGCGGTGGCAATGGTCCTCATGTCCATCTCGATGCTGCGCGCCCAGTTCTCCACGTCACCAATCTCCTGTGGGATAAGGGGGAGGAATGTCAATGGGATTTTGGGATCACCCCCTCTTCCATCAACCACTGATGTTGGGACCCCCCCAGCACATGGTGACACCAGAGATGCCGCATCCCTCTGTGTATCTCAAAGGGAATCCCAGCTCCCTGGGTATGGGGTGACACCCCCTGCTCTATGGCAGTGGGGGGGAGGGGGGGCCCCCACCTTGAGGGCCTGGTTGAAGTTCTCCACCATGGTGATCCATTGCCCTGTCTGCTTGGCAAACTGTGCTGCCTGGATTTGCAGTGTCTTCACCTCGTGGTCCAGCTTCCGCTGGTTCACATAGGCCTGTGCCACGCTGCGGGGGGAGCACGGAAGGGGACATTGCGTGAGTAGTCCCAAGGAGAGGATTTGGGTGGGAAAAGGCTTTCGGGGTACCCAGGCTGGGTTTTGGGGGGGTCTCTGCCCCGGATGGGGGGGGTTATAGGGATGCAGGGATCAACAGATGCAGATTTGGGAGTGGGGTCCCTGGGGAGGAGGTTTGGGGGGTGAAGGGGCACCAGTGTTGGGGTGTACCAGTGTTGGGGGGCTCCCTGTTTCAAAAGGGGAAAAGGGTCTGGGGGGACTCAGGGGGAGCCCACATGGTGGGGATAAGGGTTGGGGGCTCCCAAGGAGCTTCAGGGGCCCCATTGCTCACCCCATGCTGAGGTGATCCCTATGGGTGTGTCCCTATGGGGGTCCCTTTGCTCACCCCACGTTGAGGTGATCCCTATGGGAGTGTCCCTATGGGGGTCAGGTTGCTCACCCCACGTTGAGGTGATCCCTATGGGAGTGTCCCTATGGGGGTCAGGTTGCTCACCCCACGTTGAGGTGATCCCTATGGGAGTGTCCCTATGGGGGTCCCGTTGCTCACCCCACGTTGAGGTGATCCACCAGCGCCTCTGTGAGCCGAGTGGCGGCCGCGATTGCCTCCCTGCGCCTCCGCTCTGCCGTGACGTCACAGGGGCGGCGTGACGTCACCGCGGCTGACGGTGACATCACACCTTGCCGATCCGCCCCCTCCTGCCCCCAATATCCCAGCCGCCAGTCTTCCCTCCCCCCCTCCCCCCCCCCCCCCCCCCCCCCCCCCCGCCCTGACGGAGAGCCCCGCCAGCCAATGGAGTTTCCCCCCGCGCAGAGCGGCAGCCGCCGGTGCCAATCAGAAGCTCCCCGCCCCGCGGTTGCCATGGGGACGGGGCGGGCTCACCCTGCAGCTCGCGCCGCTCGCTCTGCCGCGACTGATGCTCCTTCAGCAGCCGGGACAGCATGGCGGCGGAGACACGTGACTGTGGCCTCCGCGTCACCGGCACGTGACCCGCGCCGCCCGCCCCCTGAGGGGCCTCCATGGCGGGTGAAGGCGTGTATGGGACCTATGGGGGTCTATAGTTGCCTATGGGGCTTTATAGGGGCCTATGGGGGGGATATGGGGGTCTATAGGGGAGAATACAGGGGTCTGTCGGTGTCTGTGGGGGGGATACAGGGCTCTATAGGGGGTCTGTGGGGGTATACAGGGCTCTATAGGGGCCTCAGATAATCCCACGTTTCCTTCCCAGCCAGACCTGCTGGCGTTACTCTGGAATACCCGCACGGACATTGCGTCCTAATGCCGGGAACTGGGATTTGTGCGCCAGCAGCTAATGGGATGGGGCTGTACAAAGAGCTCCTGGCAGTGGAGCAGGGCTGCGGCGTTCCCAAAGGAGAGCTGGCAGCATTCCAGCATCTCGGAGCTCACCAGCTTCAGGATGCTGCAGCAGGAGGAGAAGACCTCCTCATCCCCTTGGCTGGGAGTGGAGGGAATATACTGGATTCTTCCTATGGATTCAGCTACTTGTACCATTGGGAGGGATCCAGGAGCTTGAGCCAAAGATAAAGCAGTGAATGGGTAAAAATAACCCCATGTGTTCCCACTCCAGTTACACAGACACATCGGTGCCTTTCCCAGCCTCGGGAACGGCGAAGGAGCGGATCCTGCCATTGCCAACCTGTGCAGGGTTTGGGGGCAGCTGCTCCCTGCAGAAGGGGTTTGGGATTTGCCAGGATAACGGTCAGCGCCACTCCCGACATTCCTGTCCTTCCCTGTAGCGGAATGAGACTCCGGTGCTGGGGGGAGAAGCGGGGGGGGGGGGGGGGGAGGGTTCGCACCTCTCCCAGGGGCGTGGCAGGGTGAGCTTCCCTGGGGCGGTGGGATGCATCCATGCGTGTCCCGAGAGGAATTATGGGATCTGCACCATGCATGGCTCCAGTGTCCATCGTCCCCTCCTATGGATGGGGCTGCTCCGAGGGGTTCATCCTCACTCCCTGTTCCAAGCTCCTGCTTTGAGCCTTGTGGGGATCCTGCAGCATATCCTGTGGGATCCCCTCATCGCTCTGGGAATGTTCCCAACCAGGCGTTCTCGGGGGGGGCTCTGACTCCCCCAAACCCCTTGTGCTCCCTGCCATTCCCAACTCCTTGTCCCACTCATCCCGATGCCTGAACGCCCCCCCAGGGAGCGGGTCTGGTCCCATCCCAAGCAGGGATCGGCTCTTTCCCACGGCGGGAATGTTGGGAAGGAGGAACAAGGGGGGGGATGCTCGGGAGGCGGCACGGACCTGCTTGGCTCGGGGGGGAATTCCTATTCCTGGAGCCTTCACAAGGCCAAAGGCTCCGGGAGAGCGGATAAAAATAGCCGGGAGCTGGGAAATGTGACGGGACCCCCCTTACCGCCCCCCAGAGCCGCTCCGGGGGACCCCGACCCTGCGCAGGGTCCCGGGACAGGAGGGGTGCAGTGCGCTGTGATCGGGGGTATCAGCTCCATGCCGGGTGCGGGGGGATCCGGTGCCCGGTGCCGCCTCTGCCCCGCGCGGTGTCAACGGTGACCGCAGCCCCGCGGGCGGGGCGGGGGCGGGGGGGCCGGGCCGTTGTTCCTGGTATCCCCGGACTCCTGCCGGGGCCAGAGCGGCGGGACCGCAGCGGGCGGGGCCGGCGCTCCCGGTGCTGCCAGGGCCATGGTGGGCGCTGTCCGGCTCTGGCCGCTCTGGCTGTGGTTGCTGCCCGCCGCCGCCTTCAACCTGGACACGGGCAGCGCCGTGCTCAAGGACGGTGCCAGCGGCAGCTTCTTCGGCTTCGCCGTGGCGCTGCACCGGCAGCTGAGCCCCGAACCCGCGGGTTGGTGAGTGTGGGGAGACCGGACACTCGGAACGGGGCTGGGGACAGCGCGGGTCCTGTCGGCCCCGTGTCCCCCCTCACTGGGGTCTGTGTCCCACTCTTCGGGTCCGTGTCCCCCCATTGGGGTCTGTGTCCTCCTCCCTCGGGTCCGTGTCCCCCCATTGGGGTCCGTGTCCCCCCTCATTGGGGTCTGTGTCCCCCCACTGGGGTCCGTGTCCCCCCCATCGGATCCGTGTCCCCCGTGCTCAGTCGGGGACGCCCCTCCACTCCCCGGGACACCGGAGGGGGAACTGGCTCCTGCTCCACGTGGGTTTTGGAAGGCTGAGATTCACCCCCGAGGGGACGGGCACCGGGGGGTGTTTGGGGGGAGAGATTTGGGGGCCCAAAGCATCGAGCACAGGGAACCCCCCCAGGCTGGGGCTGGGCTCCCCCCGGGAGATGCCGCCGCCTCCACGGTGCCATTGAGCTGCCGAACACCCACACTGCGTGCCAGCACGGGCACCGGTGGCACCAGGACCCCCCACCCCGTGTCCCATAGACCCCAGTGCCGGTGTCCCACTGGGGCTGGCACTGGTAGCGCTGGCACTGGCGCACGGTGTGGTGGTGCCATGGCCCCGCCAGCTCCCTCCATGTTTGGGCATGTCGCAGACGGGTTATTTTGAGTGAATTCCAGGTTATTTTTACCAGCCCCGGGCCCGAGGCCATTGTGTGCCCCCCCCCCCCCGGTCGCGATGTGGGGCTGGGGTGGCACCGAAGCCGCCAAGACCACTGTGGAGCCTTCAGCACAGCTGCAGCAAGCCCCAGCCCTTAGGGTCCCCAACCTGCGGCACCAAGGGACAGGGAATGGCAGGGTTTGGGGCTGCATCACCCACACGTGCACTGAGGCTGGGCAATGGGGCTGCAGCTGCTGCGGGGGCGGTTGGCACTGGGTGGGCACTGGCACTGTGTGAAATCAATGCAGGGGCACTGGGACAGCTGCAGGGGACATGGTGCCCCATAGACACACAACAGTGATGTCCCAGGCCCCCCATACACATACACTGATAGGGACCCACCCTCCCACACACACTGATGGGGTCCCCCCTGTCCCAGGCTGCTGGTGGGGGCCCCACAGGCACCAGCGCTGCCCAGCCAAGGTGCCAACCGCACCGGGGGGCTCTTTGCCTGCCCCCTGACCCTGGAGCCCTCCGACTGCTGGCGGGTGCCCATTGATGATGGAGGTTAGTGGATGCCCCCTCCTTTGCCCCCCAACCCCATAGTGGGGTAGGTGTGGGGCTGACGCTGTCTGTCCCTGACAGTGGACCTGGAGCGGGAGAGCAAAGAGAACCAGTGGCTGGGGGTGAGCGTGTCAAGCCAGGGCGCCGGCGGGAAGATTGTGGTGAGTGTTGAGACCCTCCCCAAGCCCCACTGATGCCATTGACCCCCCTGGCCCCACTGATGCCCCTGTCCCCCTGCAGACCTGCGCGCACCTGTATGAGGCACGGCACCGCGTGCGGCAGCCGCTGGAGACCCGGGACGTGCTCGGCCGCTGCTTCGTGCTGGGCCAGGACCTGCGGGACGAGCCTGAGGGCGGTGACTGGAGCTTCTGCCGGGGGCGGCCGCAGGGCCACGAGCAGTTCGGGTCCTGCCAGCAGGGCCTGGCCGCGGCGTTCAGCCCCGACCGCCTCTACCTCCTGCTGGGAGCACCCGGCACCTACAACTGGAAGGGTGAGAGCGGGGAGAATGCCGGTGGGAGCGGGTAGGAGCGTGGTCTGGGCAGGGGGATGTGTATGGGAGAGGGTTAGCTGGGGGTGAGCGTGAACATGTGGGCGTGAACATGAATGTGAGCACATGTGGATGTGAGCATGCGTGTGTGTGAACACAATACAGGTGTGAGCACATAGCTGCATGCATGCAATTGGCGTGAGCACATGTATGTTCATGCTGGGTGTGAGCACGCGTGTGTGTGAGCATGTGGCAGCACACATGCTGTGGATGTGAGCACGTGTGTGTGTGCACGTGTGTGCATGCACGTGTGTGCATCCTGGGTGTGAGCACATATGGATGTGTGTATGCTACAGCTGGGCGCAAGCACACACGTATGTGTGTGCATGCCACATGAGTGTGCACGTGTGTCAGCTGTGCGTGCCTCTGTCCGTGGGGGGTGGTGCCCGCTGCCCCCGGCATGCACAGAAGGGGGGGGTCCCTGGGTGCTGCCCCCCCGCGTTGGGCTCGCAGGGACCCTGCGCGTGGAGCTGCTGCCTCAGAGTCCCCCGGACCCGCTGCGCTTCGACGACGGCCCCTACGAGGCGGGGGGGGAGAAGGAGCAGGACCCCACGCTCATTCCTGTGCCCGCCAACAGTTACCTGGGTAGGGACGGTTGCGGCGCGGGCGCGGCACCGGGGATTCCCCCCCCCGAGCCGGCCCCGCCGCCGCCAGAACCGGCCCTGGTGACCGCGTGTCCCCGCGGCCCGTGCAGGGCTACTCTTCGCGACCGGCGTCGGCGGCTCCGAGCCCGACCAAGTGGTCTACAGGAGCGCGGCGCCCGGCGAGACCGTGCCCGGCGCTGCCGCGGACCTGCCCCACAATAGCTACGTGGGTTCGTAACGCCCGTGTGCCACCCCCCCCCCCCCCCCGGGCCCGTGTGCTCCGGTGTGTGCCCCCCCCCGTGTGTCTCCGTGTCTGTGGAAGGGAGAGAAGTGGAGCTGCCGGCAGGGCTTGCAGCACGCATGGGCACACACATGGCACCGTACAGATGTGTCCCATTCAGATATGTGTCCCCATAGACACTACAGACGTCTCTGTGCATGTATCCCAGTACAGACATGTCTCCCTGCGTCTCCATGCACGTGTCGTCCCCCCCATGCATACATATAGCCATGTCCCTATACCCACGTGTCCCCACACACATGCACCCAGAACCTCCTCGTGCACGCTCACATCCAGCACCACCCCCTTGCATGTTTGTGTGTGTCCCCTTGTGCACACCTCTGGAATGCTCGGTTATGCACATGTGTGGCTGCCCCCCTGCATGCTCCCCCACACACACTGTGTGTCCCACAGGGGTCCCCTGTTCCTGTTCTGTGTCTATTGTGGTGCCAGGGCTGGGGGAGCCCCACTAGGCTGGGGGGCTGTCAGTGCCTGGAGTGATTCCCCCCCACGCCCCCAGCACCTACCATCTCCCGCATGTCCTCCCCCGAGGTGTCTCTGCATGGGGGGGTGCACAGAGCCCGTGGGGGGACTTGGGGGGCTCCGTGGGGGGGCCGCGCACGGCAACTGCTGCATATGGGGCAGAGGTTTGCAGCCTCACACTGGGGTGGGAGGCTGTGCTGCTCTCCGGGGGGGACACACATGGATCCAGCCCCAAATATTACATTCTTCCACCCCAGATCTTCCCTCCTGGCAATTGGGATCCTGCCCCCCCCCCCCCTTCCCCCAGCACAGAGAAGGGAAACTGAGGCACGGGCAGAGTTCCCCATTCCCACCCAACGGACCCCCAGGGCATGAGGCGGCGGCGGGGGGGGGGGGGGGGTGGGAAGGGTCCGGCACCGACACCGCGTCCGCCCTCCTCCCCCACAGGGTTCTCGGTAGCGTCGGGGGCGGGGCTGACGCGGCGGCGGGAGCTGAGCTTCGTCACCGGCGCCCCCCGTGCCAACCACACCGGAGCCGTCGTCATCCTGCGCCGCGACAGCGCGAACCGGCTGGTGCCCGAGGCCGTGGTGCCGGGGCAGCAGCTCAGCTCCGCCTTCGGGCACAGCGTGGCCGTGCTGGACCTCAACAGCGACGGGTGAGGGGGGGAGGGGGAAGGGGGATCCGTACTCGTCCCCTCAGCACCCCCAATAGTGACAGAGCCGCGGGCCCCGCAGGTGGCTGGACCTGGCGGTGGGGGCCCCCCACTTCTTCGAGCGCCAGAAGGAGATCGGGGGCGCAGTCTACGTCTACATCAACCCCGCGGGGCGCTGGGACGCCGCCACACCCGTGCGCCTCAACGGCACCCGCGGCTCCATGTTCGGCATCGCCCTCAGCACCGCCGGGGACCTCAACCACGACGGCTTCGAGGGTGTGGACCCGGCCGGACCCTGATGAGGGGCGCATCCCATAGAGGGGTGTCCCCCCCCACCCCACCCCATTCCCTGCCCTTGCCCCCCCCCCCAGACCTGGCCGTTGGAGCCCCCTTCGACGGCGCCGGCAAAGTCTACATTTACCACGGCAGCAGCCTGGGCATTGCGGCCACACCGGCACAGGTGTGTGGGGGAGTGCTGTCCCGGGGAGGGGGGCATTGCCCATCGTCTGCCTCCCCAGTGTCACCACGGGCCCTGTTGCAGGTGCTGGATGGGGAGGCTGTGGGGGTGACAGCATTCGGGTACTCGCTCTCGGGGGGGCTGGATGTGGATGGGAACCTCTACCCCGACCTGCTTGTGGGATCCCTCTCGGACACTGTGGTGCTGTACAGGTGGGTGCCCCTTCAAGGGTGTCCCATCCCGAACCCCCCATCCCTGAGACCCCTATTCCAGAGCACCACATCCCTGAGCAACCCCCATCACCTCCATCATGGCCTCCCCTTACCGCCGACCCGAGCCTCCCCTGGCCTGGGGGGTTCCCGGTGCAGGGTTCGGGGTGCCCGGGGCGGGGGGGGGGTGGTGGTGTCCCATCCTGTCCCCCCCGTTTCTCCCCGGCAGAGCCCGCCCCGTCGCCCACGTCTCCCGCAATGTGACACTGGACCCTCCCAACATCGACCTAGAGCAGAGCAACTGCCGGCACCAGGAGGGCGTCTGGTGGGTACCCCCCGATCCCCCCCCCGTACCCATCTGTACCCCTACAGTGGCCCCCGGCTCACTCGCTGCCCCCCAGCGTGGACGTCAGCGCCTGCTTCAGCTATACAGCCACTCCCGGCAGCTTCGGCCCCCGCCTCGGTGAGCGCCGGGGGGAGCAGTCCCTGTGCCCCACCCCGTCCCCCGGCAGGACCAGGACCCGCCTGGCACTGCGGCCGTCCCTGTGCCCCCAGCGCTGCAGTACGTGTTGGAGGCGGACGCGGAGCGGCGGCGCCTCGGCCACACTCCCCGCGGTGTCTTCCTGAGCCGCCGCAGCTCGGACCCTGAGCACCAGTTCTCCGGCATCGTGGAGCTGCCGCGGCAGCAGGCGCGGGTCTGCGTCACTGCCACCTTCCAGCTCCAGGTGGGGCCCAGCCCATCCCCTTCCCCATCCTCATCTGCATCCCCCTCCCTGTTCCACATCATCTCCATCCTATTTGCATCCCTATTCCCATCATCATCCCTATCCCCACCTCCGTCTTCATAGAATCATTTAGGTTGGAAAACACCTTTAAGACTGTTGAGTTCAACTGTAAACCTCATCCTTGTTTCCATCCCCATCCATATTCCCATGCCAACCCCACCCTACCCTGTGCCTCCATGGCTCCCCTCACCCTCATTCCCACAGGACAACATCCGTGACAAGCTGCGCCCCATCACCATGACCCTGGCTTATGGCATCCATGGAGGTGGGGCCACGCGTCTGCACCAGGATTCAGCGCGGCTCCGCCGGGCCTCAGTCCTGCCACCACTGTCACCTGTGCTAAGCCCACAGCAGCCCAACAGCCACCGCACTGAGGTGGGTACTGGCCACATTCCTCCTTTGCGCTCCATGGGTCCCATTACCTGGAGCATCCCTGTTCCTGCTCCATGGGTCTCATTGCCTGGAGCATTCCTCTGCCCCCATGTCCCCAGGTTCACTTCCTGAAGCAGGGCTGTGGGGATGACAAGATCTGCCAGAGCAACCTCCAGCTCCACTTCCAGTTCTGCGCCCGCCTTGGGGATGCTGAGTTCCTGCCACTGCCGTGGTGAGGGGGGGGACACGGTGGGTGCTCACACCACAGAGTGCCGGGGACACCCCGGGGGGGTCTCACAGTGGCTCTGCTGCAGGGGGGACGATGGTGCCGCCATCCTCGCCATCAGCGACCAGAAGGACGTGGCCCTGGAGATCCACGTCACCAATGAGCCCTCGGAGCCAGCAGAGCCGCAGCGGGATGGGGACGACGCACACGAGGCGCTGCTCAGCGCCTCCTTCCCCCCCGAGCTGCCCTACTCTGCCCTGCGCCATGATGAGGGGCAGCCCACGGTGTGCATGCGGGTGCTGGGGGGAGGGTCGCTATGGGGCGGGGGGCTCAGTTCTCTGTCCCCCAGGAGAAGCCGGTGCTGTGTCTCGCCAACCAGAACGGCTCCCGTGTGGAATGTGAGCTGGGGAACCCCCTGCGGCGCGGGGCCGAGGTGGGTGCAGCCCCCCTGAGAACCCAATCCTGCTCCCCCTGTCCTGCCCCCCAATCCTGCCCCTCTCACCCTTCCTCTGCCCCCAGGTCCGGTTCTTCCTCATCCTCAGCACCTCAGGCATCACGCTCCAGACCACAGACCTGGCGGTGGAGCTGGTGCTGTCCACGTGAGCCGTAGCCATGGGCACATCACGGGGGGAGGACTTGGGGTGATGTCCCCCCCCCATAAACCCCCATTGCTCTCCACAGCATCAGCGAGCAGCCAGGGCTGGTGCCAGTGGTGGCTCGTGCACGCGTGGTCATCGAGCTGCCACTCTCAGTGACCGGGTGAGTGCAGGTGGGGACCCCCCATTGTCCCCATAGTGTGGATGTGGGTCCAGGAACCACCCCCGGCCCTGCCCTGACCCCCCCTCCCTCGTTGTCCCCATAGCGTGGCGGTGCCCCCACGGCTCTTCTTTGGCGGCACCGTGCGGGGGGAGAGTGCCGTAAAGCACGAGAGCCAAGTGGGCAGCGCCGTGCGCTTCGAGGTGACGGTGAGTGCCCGTCCGGGGGAGCCCCACCGCCCGCCCTGCACTCACTGATGCGCCAGCCCTGCTGATGCCATGACTTCCCAGGTCTCCAACCGGGGCCAGTCGGTGAAGACGCTGGGCTCAGCCTTCCTGACGCTGCTCTGGCCCCATGAGCTCCCCAACGGGAAGTGGCTCCTGTACCCGCTGCACATGGAGTTGGTGGTGGCCCCGGGGCAGGGGCTGCCCTGCAGCCCTGCCGCCAACCCCCTGCGCCTGGCGCTGGTACGGCCGCTGCCATGGGGACGCGCCGGTGCCTGCCTGGCTCCTGCTGCTCCCACCCCATTCGCAGCCTTATCCCCCCTCTCCTGCAGGAGCCCCAGGGGCAGCCAGAGCAGTCCACGCCAGGGGCCTGGTGGGTGCCAGCAGCCGCCGAGAGGAGGAGGAATGTCACGTTGGTGAGAGGGGGGAACCCGGTTATGGGGTGAACCCGGTTATGGGGTGCCCCTATTCAGGGGGTGCACTTATCCTTGGGGTACCCCTGCTTAGGGTACCATGGGGTAACCCTGGCCTGAGGTGCCTCTGTTCATGGGGTACCCCATTCCTGCGATGCCCCTGCTGGTGTCTTGTCTGACTCCCTCCACAGGACTGTGCCCAGGGCACCGCACGCTGCCGGCCATTCCGCTGCCCATTGCCCAGCTTTGAGCGCGCGGCCATGCTGAGCGCCCGTGGCCGCCTCTGGAACGGCACCTTCCTGGAGGTGGAAGCCTTGGGACAGGCATGGGGACAGGGATAGGGACAGGGATGTGGCCGGTGCTCACCCCCCCGCCTTGCAGGAGTTCCTGGCTGTCACCTCGGTGGAGCTCATCATCCGCGCAAGCGTCTCGGTGACCTCCTCCATCAAGAACCTGGTGCTGAGGGATGCGTCGGTGAAGGTCCAGCTCCACCACACCTGGACCAACTACCCCCCCGTACCCCCCCTCCCATCCCGCTGACCCCTGTCCCCTCCACAGATCCCCGTCAGCATCTACCTGGACCCCAGCGCGGCAGTGGCGGGCGGCGTGCCCTGGTGGGTGATCCTGCTGGCGGTGCTGGCCGGTGTCTTCCTCCTGGCGCTGCTTGTGGCCGGGCTCTGGAAGGTGAGCGGCAGGGATAGGGTCTGGCAGCAAGAGGTAGCCCCTGCCTGAGGTGTGGGGTCCCCTGGGGGTGCTGTGCCACACTGTGCCGTGCTGGGCCACACAGTGGTGTGCCACGCTGGGCCACACTGTGTCACTCTGTGCCATGCAGGGCCATGCAGTGGTGTGCCACACAATGCTGTGCCACGCTGTGCTGTGCCACACTTTGCAGTGCTGTGCCACCCCTGCCATGCCACCCCAGAAATGCCATGCCAGCTGTGCCATGCCACCCCATGCTATGCCATGCCACCCAGCCATTCCATTCTTTGCCAGCCCATGCCATGCCACTCAGCCATGCCATGTCATGCCATCTCACCCAACCTTTCCATTCCATTTTATGCCATACCATGGCACCCACCCACCCTGTTCCATGCCAGCCTACAACACATGGCACGTGGTGGCTGTGCAGCCCATGCATGCGTATGGTGTGTGTGTGTGCGTACACGTGGTCTGTGTGCGGGGCCACGGGGCTGTGCTGGTGCGGGTCACTCTGAGCCTCACGGCGGGCACCAAGCACGTCTGGGGCTGGGCGCAGGGGTCGCGGCGCGGTCCCCGGGACAGCCGTGATGCCGTGTGCCGCAGGCCGGGTTCTTCCGCCGGGCGCGGGCGGTGCCACCGGCGCTGCCGCAGCACCACGCGGTGAAGATCCCACGGGAGCAACGGCCACAGTTCCGCGAGGAGAAGACGGGGACGATCCAGCGCAAGGAATGGGCAGCGCTGAGCGACGGCGGTGATGGCCGCGTCACCCCCAGCTCCGCGTGACCCCGGGACGTGCGACCCCCCCGGGGGATGGAGCCGCGGCGGCGGCACCGGGAAGGGGCATCGCCCCGCGGCGATGCTCGACCCAATAAAGCAGCAGCCCCGCCATGGGGGCACCAACGACGGCGTCCACCATGAGGAGCGTGGCGAAGGGGGCAGGGAGCCGCCATGATGGGTGTGGCGAAAGGGGTGGGAGCCGCCATGATGGGTGTAGGCAAGGGGGAGCCGCCATGATGGGAGCGGCCGTTTCGGCGTGTGACCGTGCTGCAGCGGCAGGGCCGGGCTCTGCGTGCTGAGACAACGAGGCGCGTCCCCGCCCCGGTCCCGGCTCCGATCCCTCTCGATGTCCCGGTAACAGCGGTTCAGAGCGGAGGCGACCCTGCCCTGCCCTTAGTCAACATGGCGGCGCCCTGACCCGAGGCGCGCAGGATAGCACCGCCCAGCGCGGCTTCAACCCGTCTGACGTGACGTCACCTTCCGGCGGGTACCCGGAGCGGCGCCATTGATAGCGGCGGAGGAGGCGGCAGCAGCGGCCCGGTCCCGGTGCCCGCTCCAGGCGATGATGAGGCTGGGCCCGGCCCCATTCCCGCTGTGAGCTCTGGGAGCACCGGGCCCGTTCCCGCTGTGAGCTCCAGGGGGGCCCGCCCTCACCTCTGCCCCCCCCCCAGCACCGCTGCCCCCGCACTGATGGCGTCGGGCGCCACGAGCCGCTCCGAGGACGAGGAGTCTCTGGCGGGGCAGAAGCGGGGCCCGGCCGCGGCCTCGGGCGCCGTCCCCAAACGCCGAAGCTCGTCTCGGTACGGCGGGGCCGTGGCTGGGGCTGGGGCGGGCTCCTCCGCTCTCAGCCGCCTCCATTCTCCCTTCTCCTTCCGTTCAGGTTCATCAAGAGGAAGAAGTTCGACGATGAGCTGGTGGAGAGCAGCCTGGCCAAGCCCAGCCGCGCCAAGGGCGGCGCCGAGCCCGGGCGCTGCTCGGGCAGCGAGCCCTCCTCCAGCGAGAAGAAGAAGGTGCGCGCATGGCAGGGTCCCCAGGGGGCGCCGGTGGGACCCGAGGGGGGATGCGGATCGCGCAGAGCCCCAACCCCCGCTGTGCCCCCCCCACCCAGGTCTCCAAGGTGGTGCCGGCGCCCGTCGTGCCCAGCCCGGTGCCCGCTCCTGGCCTGGCCAAGCGGCTCAAGAAGAGCAAGCAGCCGGTGCCGGTCACCAAGGACCTGGGCCGCTGGAAGCCTGCCGATGACCTCCTGCTCATCAACGCGGTGCTGCAGGTGCTGGGGGCTCCGGTTGTGGGGGGGGGGGGTCCCCCAAACTATCCCCTCCCTCACCCGGCGGCTCCTGCAGACCAACGACCTGAGCGCCGTGCACCTGGGGGTGAAGTTCAGCTGCCGCTTCACGCTGCGCGAGGTGCAGGAGCGCTGGTACGCGCTGCTCTACGACCCCGTCATCTCCAAGTGAGTGCAGGGCTGGGGGGGGCAGGGCTGGGGGCTGCGGGGGGCTATAACAGTGTCCTTCCCCCCCAGGCTGGCCTGCCAGGCCATGCGGCAGCTGCACCCCGAGGCCATCGCCGCCATCCAGAGCAAGGTCCTGTTCAGTAAAGCCGAGGAGCTGCTGCTCAGCAGAGTGGGATCGGTGAGAGGCCATGGGAGCTGGGGGGGGGGCACAGTGGTGGTCCCCGGTGCTGACCCCCCTTTGCCCCCCCTCCAGGGCAGCCAGCCCTCGCTGGATACCTTCCAGGATCTGTTGCACAAGCACCCTGATGTGTTCTACCCCTCACGCACAGCCAAGGCGCTGCAGCTGCATTGGCAGCTCATGAAGCAGTATTACCTCCTGGAGGACCAGACCGGTGAGCATGGGGGTGTCCTGTGTGCCCTCCCAGCACCCACAGATCTCCCTGCACTCCTCAATTCTTCTCTCCTCTGTTCCTTCCAGTGCAGCCGTTGCCCAAAGGGGATCAAGTGCTTAATTTCTCGGATGCTGAGGACATGGTGGATGACAGCAAATTGAAGTAAGGGGATGGGGGAGGCCGGGAGTTGGAAAAGAGGGGACCTCATTCTCATCCCAACTCTGCTCCATAGAGATGTGCGGGACGAGGTGCTGGAGCATGGTAAGTCTGATTCGCTCCACCCAACAGCCTGACTCTGTGTGGGGAGGTCCCCCCCGGGAACATGGGGGGTGTCCCATAGGAGCCCCCCTGCTCAGCTCCCATCTCCCCCTGGCCCAGAGCTGACTGTGGCTGACAGGCGGCAAAAGCGTGAGATCCGGCAGCTGGAGCAGGAGCTGCACAAGTGGCAAGTGCTGGTGGACAGCATCACAGGTAAGGGAGGGGGGGCTGGTTGTGCCCCCCTCGGACCCATGTGCCCCCCCCATATCCCTGTTTTTGCCTCCCCAGGGATGAGCTCCCCGGACTTTGACAGCCAGACCCTGGCCGTGCTGCGGGGCCGCATGGTTCGGTACCTGATGCGCTCCCGGGAGGTGAGATCCTGCCTCCACCAGAGCCCCCCCACCCTGTGGACCTCCCCCCAGCATCCACTTTTGCTTTCCCCTCCAGATCACCCTCGGCAGAGCTACCAAGGACAACCAGATTGACGTGGACCTGGCGCTGGAGGGGCCAGCATGGAAGATCTCCCGCAAGCAGGGTGGGTTTGGGGGTTCTGGGGCAGGGGGGGCCATGCCCCCCCATCTTCTCACCCCCTTTCCCCCTCTTTCCAGGTGTCATTAAGCTGAAAAACAATGGGGACTTTTTCATTGCCAATGAGGGCCGGCGCCCCATCTACATCGATGGGCGCCCTGTGCTGGGTGGCAGCAAGTGGAAGCTCAACAACAACTCTGTGGTGGAGGTGAGCCCCAAGGCCATGGGGGGGTCCTGGGTCAGGGTCGCAACGCTCATTCTCTGTTCTGTACCCCCACCAGATAGCCAGCCTCCGTTTCGTTTTCCTTATCAACCAGGACCTCATCGCTCTCATCAAGGCAGAAGCAGCCAAGCTGGCCCAGCAGTGACTGGGGGGCTGCTTGGCCCCCCCCCCCCCCCCAGGGGGATCTGCCCCCCTCGCGGCCCCATAGATGGGGGTGGCACTTCCCAATAAAGCTCCTCAATGGACTCCAGGGCCTGGAGCTGCAGTTCATGGGTTTAATCTCTTCAAATTAAGACATTTGGAGTTCAAGAGAAGGAAGAAAAGTGGTGGGGGGATAAAGTTGCAGACCCCCCCAGCACCCCTAAGAACCTCCCCAGGCTCCCTAGGCCCCTGCAATGTGGCTTTAGGCACTCAGCCCCTCTAGTGCTGCAGTTGAGCTGAGGGAGGACACAGGGTGGGAGGAAGGGGAAGTATTAAAGCCAAGGGATTCCAACATGGAAAACCCAGGGATGAGCAAAAGGGTGGGGGCGTTTGCCCTCCTCATCCTCGCTGCCAGCACGGGATGAAGGTGGGGAAGGACAGGCTGGAGCTGGGGCAGGGGGAACATAAAGCAAATGAAGGGGGGAAGAGGCAAAAGAGCATGGGGACCAGGCACTGGAGCCGCAGCTCAGGCGCGGGCCCCCTCGTGCCGTGCGCGGGGCCGGCGCTGGGGGGGCGCTGCCGGCGGCCGGGGTTGGGCCATGGGGGGTGGCTGCAGTCGTGATCCTGCTCCCGGCCTCCGGGTGCGCTGCAAAGGAAGAGGTTCAGTGAGGGGTGGATGTGACCCCGCTGCAGCAGCGCTGCTGCAGCCCTGTGCATCCCATCACCCCAGCTCTGGTGCTGGTGCAGTTACCTCTCGTGCTGGCTGTGGGGGGTGGCTGCCGGTGTCCCCTGTGGGTCCCTCCGCTGCAGCCGGGGGCTTCTTGGTGCCCGTGCTCAGGCTGGTGGCAGTGGTTGGACCTGGGGGAGCTGCAGTGTCCCCGGGGCTGCTGAGGGCTGCGGCTGTGAGTGAGCTGCACCGGGACCGCATGGAGTAACTGTTCTTGGGGTGGGAAACTGCAAGGAAGAGCCCTGGGGTCAGTGCTGGAGGTGGGACATGGAGCATCCACCCTCCAGCAGCAGAAGTAGGAAAGGGGGGAGTGGCACCTCCCTCACCTTGGCCGAAGGCAGCGATGCTCCTCTTGAGTGCATCCAGGTCGCAAGAGAACCGCGCCACCCGGCCCAGGTCCTCATCATACTTGCGCTCACTCACAAAGTGCTGCTCATGAGAGGCAGAACATGAGGTTAGGAGAGGAAATTGAGAGGAAACGTTGCCACGAGTGGGAACCTGCGCTGGGAGCTGCTCAGGGGCACTGGGAAGGGGGTGGCAATGGTCACTTCTGGGAACCATTTCTGCTCCATGCAACCACCCCCAATCCATGGCACAATCCCTTCTCCATGGAACCATCCCCAGTCCATACAGTTGGCACAGCCCCAGTCTCTGGACACTCAGAGAGGAGCTGGTTTCTTGCTGCACTAATCCTGTTCTAGGGCTGGTGTTTTACAGACCTCCAGTACCTAAAGGGACTACAGGAGACCTGGAGAAGGGCTTTGACAAGGAATGCAGGGACAGGACAAGGGGAATGTCTAACCTGCCAGAGGGGAGATGGAGGTGGGATCTTATGAGGAAGTTCTTCCCAATGAGGGTGGTGGGACATGGAATGGGTTGTATGGAGAAGCTGTGGCTGCCTCATCCCTGGCAGTGTTTAAGGCCAGGCTGGACTAGTGGAAGGTGGCCCTGCCTGATTGGAGCTGGAGGAGCTTTAAGGTCATTTCATCCCAACCCATTCCATGGTTCTGATCTACAAACGAAGGGCTTTAAATGGAGGTGTCCCCAGGGGAACAACCCCCTCCTGGTGGGTCTGAGCAGGAACCTGATGTGGGTGCTCTCACCTTGATGTCAGCCCGGAGCTCCACCAGCTGCTCCTCAGACATCCTCACAGCCACATCCGTCATCTTCTTCAGTGCCTCTGCCTTCCTCTGCCGGCTGCCCAGGATCTCCACTGGGAACAAAGCATGGCTCAGAACCACACCAGGACCAGCACTGCACCAGTATCAGGCTCTCCTGAGCCCCCTCTTC